TCTCAATCACCATCAACAAAGCAGATAAGCTCATCATCCCCGCCGACAAAGCCACAAACTTCTACAAAGTAACTAGTAAGACGAGTACGACAAACTCATACATGAAAACATCACCACGTCATACAGGAAAACAAAAGAAGGCAGCACCCACGAAATCAACAACGTAGCCAAAGCAATTGCTACAAAACTTAAAATCGAGGACCAAATGGAAACCATTGCTGAAAAAGAGGCTTTTATAACACTCAAAGATCATAGAGAAAATTTCCTAAATAAACTAAGCTGTAGACTCATAAACCCATCAAAATCAGAAACCGGACTCATACGCAAGACCATCCTCGACCGGATAAACCGTGACCTGCTCACAAAAACCCAAATGAACCAACGGAAAAACACCGCTGCTGTCACAGAATGGTTCAAACACATCCCATACAAATCAATCAATCAATCAATAATTTTATTTCCAATTCAAAGAATTTACAACAGATTTGTAGTAAACATTGAAAATCAAAATCAAAGGAATTGGAAAAAGGCAAACATAACAAGAAGAACTTTAAGCATGTAGCCCAAAATAATAATAAGAATAACAATAATAATAATAATAATAATAATAATAATAATAATAATAATAATAATAATAATAATTTTACACGAACACGAAGAACACGAAGCAGATATCATCATGAACTCATGAAAATCAGTATTGTTTGGTAACAATTCAACATGGACCAAGAAAAACTCGGTATATCCGATAGTGCTCGACCACTGGGAGCAATTTAATGAATAAATGTAGTTGGCAATACTAGCAACGAACAGTGCTCGATACACGTTATAATGCAGAGCGTAAATATTAAAAATGTAGAACTTGTAGAACTGGGTATAATCACTCTACAGACTGTTTCAACAATTCAACATGGACCAAGAAAAACTCGGATGACATGTTTGACGTTACTATGGGAAGCTTCGACGGGGCCGAAATATGCGAACTTGTCGGATCCTTCGTCCTCTCCTCTCTCATCCCAATACTCGGCAAAACCAACGTCGGTCTCTACCGAGATGATGGCCTCGCCGTCATGAACAGTCTATCACCAAGGCAATGCGACAAAATGAAGAAAACTATTATATCCATCTTCCACGCATTCGACCTCCGTATCACCATACAGACGAACATCCACACCACCAACTTCCTCGATGTTACACTCAGCCTAAAAAACGGGTCCTTCAAGCCTTACAGCAAACCAAACAACCAACTACTCTACGTCAACACCAAATCAAACCATCCCCCATCTATCCTGAAACAAATTCCCGCATCCATTAACAGACGCATATCCAGTATATCGGATTCCAGTGAATCATTTCATCAGGCCGCCCCCGACTACGAACAAGCTCTGCAAAACAACGGATTCCAGCACAAAATGGAGTTAAAACCAACATCGGAAAATCATTCCTTAACCTCGTAAAGAAACATTTTCCGAGTGGCAACATTTTGCACAAGCTATTCAACAAGAACAATGTTAAAGTCAGCTATAGCTGCTCAAGAAACATGGGCAGTATAATCAGAGCCCACAACAAACAGCTTCTGGTTGCTAAGCAACAACAGCCAAATAAACTCTGCAATTGCAGGAAAAAAGATGAATGTCCACTCTCTGGAAATTGCCTCACCTCATCCATCATCTACAAAGCCACTGTCCACTCAAATGATGACACAAAATGCTACATCGAGCTCACCGACACACCGTTCAAAACCCGATACACAAACCACAAATACACTTTTAACACCCCAAACACAGAAACAGCACTGTACTCTCCAAATACCTATGGAAATTAAAAGAAAGCAACACACCCTATAATATCAAATGGTCTATTATCGACAGAGCATCGGCTTACTCCCCAAGAACAACGCTGCAACCTATGCATAACCGAAAA